CTCTTTTCTGTGTGTGCATGCATGTGCATTCATTGGCCACAAAGCTCACTGGAATGTGGCCTCCAGAATCAATGCAGCTTTAAGCCCATAAATGTTTCGTTCCTCCTGCTCTTTAGGAAAGAACAATCAAATTTGACAGTATCAGGAGGAGAGAACTCTACAGAGTTAATGTTCTCAAGATCCTATGGACACAAACTGCAATGAGATTTCCCTTTAATTGCTTTGAGATATTTTTCTGAAAAATATGAAACAGTATAGAAATGAGTAATAATCTGAACATGAATAGCTAATTTCAATTTTGCCTTCCTCAGTCTTTTACAATACTGTCTTCAACGTTTTTATTATCATTAATTCATTTACATGTGCAACACTTCTGAAGAATCCTCCTTTCCTCTGCATTCTCAAAACCGTCACCCACTTCAACTCTTTGTCTGAAAACTCAGCCGTATTACTGGGGAAGGTGGAAGATAAAACCTTTAACAAAACATGCTTTAAGGTTCTCTCACTTATCTACACGCAGACACACTAGCTTTGATAGCTTGGGGGAAAGTTCAGACGTGTTCTCCAGGGAATGGATCTATCAGCTGTTTTATTAGCCCTGACTAATAAAGGCACAGTGTACCTTGATTTGGGGCAGGCAAAAGAAGCCATTTCCTTGCTAAATGAATCGGATGGACATCATTACCACAAGATGCGGTGATGGTGGTGGCAAAGAGAGCTTTACAAGGCGATCTGACCAATTCACGAAGGAGGGCGATAGGTTTATCAATGGCACTGGCAGAGGAAGGGGGGGCAGGAGTAGTGGTCTGCAAAGGGTGTCACAGTAAGAGCCCCCCCCTGCTGCACTGCTCTTCCTCCCCCCCCCGCCTCCCCTTCCCTCTCCCCCGTGGGGAGGACCGTCAAAATGGGCTGGGCTCCCTGATGAGGGACAGGGAGAGGGGCGGCAAAAGCCCCAGGTACGCCGCTGATCCGTGAGCGACTATATGCATCGTCCACCGCGAAGCAGCAGCTGCCTTGGACCCCTCGTTCTGCCCCTTGAGCTCAGGACTGAAGGGAGCAGCTCCCCAGGGTCTCCGGCAGGGTCCGTGCCAGCCTGAGCCAGAGATGTTTGCCCCTGTGCCCTCCTGCAGATGCCCTGCCCCTCAGCTGCGCCCCTTCCCCTTCCTGCCCGGGTGGGGGGGCGCCCTGCAGCCTCTGGCTGGACTCGGGGCCTGATCCTGCCAGGCCCACGTGCTCTCCTCCCCCCCCTCCCCCCTGCACCTCGGACTCCTCGCTCCGTCCCTGCACCGGAATCCGGCTCCTCTCCGGGGAAACTCGCCAGGCCACGGGCCGCTGCTCCTCCGCTCTCCTCGGCGGGGGACAGGAAAGTGCAGCCGCTCTCGAGTCCCCCTGGCTGGCCCCGTTTCCTGCCTCTCTGAGCATCGGAGCTCGCTGGCTGTGGGTTGGGCCCTGGGAGGCTGCGAGGCTGGATGCGCCCCCTTGCGCTGTCCCTCAAAATTTATTGTATCATTGGAATCTACCTGGCATCTTATAAGATATCCAGAATGTTGCACAAATAAGTCTCCTTGTGATCCGATGTGCAGTCACTGGTTTCCTCATCAGTAAATCTTTTCAGAAAGCTGGGACGATGCCACCCTGCAGCCATAGCTGTCAATTTTCAGATTTGAAAAAAAGGGATCAGCAGACTCGGAAAAAAAGGATCAGCAGCCTCACCTGTCCCGGGGACAGTCTACAGGATACCTAACAATCCGGGATAGCAGCGGGAAATGGCTCTGGAATAAGGGAATTTCCCGCAAAAAAAGGGAAGGTTGACAGCTATGCCTGCAGCCCGAATGGGTAGCTGGAGGAGGCAGTCCAGTTCCCAGCTCTGCTGGTTGGGATCATGCAATCACTTAGCTCCAGCAACCGACCTTTCCAAACCCTCCAACATTTCTCTGATGAAAATAGGGACATCCCATTCCATAAATATAATTTTCCTATTTATACACCACACATCTTATTACGTTGCCCCAGCCACTCTGGGAAGTTTCCAACATATATAAAAAACATAATAAAACATTAAACATTAAAAAACGTTCCTATAGAGGATTGCCTTCAGAGAGCCGGGGGTTGGATAACTCCATTCCCTCCAACATTTCTTCAATGAAAATAGGGACACCCTAAGGAAAAGCGTGACATTCTGGGATCAAATCAGAAACCAGGACGGCTTCTCTAATTCTAAACAGTGGCACTTTCTCTTTCCCTGCTTTTTCATTCGCTGCCTCTGGTCTCCTGCATCCATTTAGCAGAGGAGGGGCGTGGTTTTGGCCTTATACTTCTCTACCCCCCACCCCACCCCCAATATAACCAAAAACACCAGGAGACACACACACACCATTTTGGAGTGAGGACCAAAAAATAAAATCGTTTTATTATTTTATTACTTATTTTTGCAGTTCAATCTACCGTATCTATAAATTTTATAGTTTATAGCCAATGGCCACCACAATACAATATGAGTACAAATCACACAGCTGCAAAACAAAAGACATTGCATGCACCGGATCAGGATAAATCTATAGTGTCCAAAATTTATTCTCACATTTGTTTCAATGGGAAGGATATAGGGCAGCAGAGTCCAGGTGGTGAGGTCCAGAGTGGAGTTCCTATCATCCTTGACTGTCTGCCCTGCTGGCTGAAGCTGATGGGAACTGGACAACAACATCTGGGGACACCTCAATGGTTATTCTGTGATATACAGAATCTACAAAGGATTAAGGCACTGATCCAGAAGACAATGAACTGAGAAGAGGCCCCACTGAATTATCTTGGAGGAACTGTAACTGTAGTTTGTTAGTGTGATCTGTCTGAAGTGAAACAGATCACTATATAATAATAATAATTATTTATACCCCACCCATCTGGCTGAGTTTATCCAGCCACTCTGGGCGGCTCCCAATCAAGTGTTAAAAACAGTACAGCTTTAAATATTAAAAACTTCTCTAAACAGGGCTGCGTGTTTGAATAAGCAGAAGATTGTACAGTGGTACCTCGTGTTACATACACTTCAGGTTACAGACTCCTCTTCTATTCTTCTCAGTTATATGATTATGAAAGTAAAGCTCTTTTGAATAGCAAGAGTCTGGCCACTGTATAGTCTGTAAAAAGGAACTATCAACTAGAATAGCTATTTGGCTTCCTAACTATAAGCTACTCTGTTACTTTGGATAACATAAAAATTCAGAGACAGACAGACTTTAATGTTGTATACAGTGTAAGGCTGGGGAATTGAGAGGTGGGGAGAGCAAGCGGGGGGGGGGGTAGAATACACTTTCATTATTTTACAAAGTTCATATGCAAGGTGTTTGTGTCAGTGTGACATGGGTAGCTTCTCTTCCTATTCATTTATTAGTTTTCATTGGCAGTGAGAAAGATTGGGGGGCCCAGGGCACAGTTGGTTGCCTTCAGTTGACTGCAGTAAAGGTGGTGGAGGCTGAACCATTTTGAGGACGTGAGTTGCAATTTGAAGAAGACATGAGTTGCAATTTGACATCATCTGGAGGGGCCACAGGTTACCCAACAGGTCCGTTTTCAGCGCCTTGACCTTCTCCTGGCGCAGCTGCCCTTGGAACTCCTCGTACTGAATGTGCTTCGTCCTGGAGTGCCTCTGCAGGTGGGCCTTCTTCAGGACGGAGAGGGCCTCACCACAAATGAGACACACGGGCATGCCTTTCAGCTCCACAAAGAATTTGTCGTGTGTCCACCTTTTTTGAAAATGCGGCACTCCAAATCTATCTTCCTCTTCTTGTGGAAACATTGATTGAAACAGAGAATTAGGCAGACGGAGTTGTTCAAATATGGGAATCCTATGCTGCCTATAGCCAGCCCTGGTCAGTAATGTGTCTGCAGCTCTTTGAGCCATTGAAGTTTCTGAGCTCTTTTCAAAGGCAGCCCCAAGAAGAGTGTGTTAAACTAACTCCTACGCAATGTGGCACCAGACTGCTTTCTTTTTTTGTAATTATCTGTTTGTTTTAAATTCTGTAGCTTAAATTCTCTTGATGCTTCTTTTTTTGAGAAGGGCCTCTTACAGTCACAAAGAAATGATTTTCAGTGCAGCTCCATAACACTGATTGTGCCCTCACACTGCCCCTTTTTGTGTGGGGATTTGGATCCAGAAAAGGAGCAGACGGGGAAAGGTTAAGCAGAATCCCACCCACCCCCTGCGCCACCCTTAGGTGTGCTCAGTCTTCGCCTGCTTCATGACTCCAGCTTCCACGAGAAGGCAGGATAGAGCTGCAGAAAACAGGAAGTGGTCCTTCAACCAGCCAGGACATCTCACCATCACAGACAGATCCAGTCTCCTGCTATGGAGTAAGGAGTGGCCCAGGGATGGCAGAGAGAGGAGGGGAAGGGGCCAGGGACAGAAGGAATGGCAGGGCTCCAGATGCTCCCTTGGACCCTTCCCCTGACACCAAGGGGAGCTCCTCTTCTGGGGCTGAAAGCATTAGGGTGTTTTGATTTTATCAGTATTGCAAGGAAGCATAGAAGGAAAGGTAAAAAACACCTATGCGGTTTATTAAAGTTTATTAAAGTATCTGTGGTTTTCCCCCTGTGTGAGTTCGTTGATGTATTCTAAGTGCTCCAGATTGACGGTAGCTGTTTCCACATTCCATACATTTAAATGGTTTCTCCCCTGTATGAGTTCGTTGGTGTATTCTAAGATGTCCACTTTCACTGAAACACTTTCCACATTCCATACATTTAAATGGTTTCTCCCCTGTGTGAGTTCGTTGGTGTATTCTAAGTGATCCACTATAACTAAGCTCTTTCCACATTCAATACATTTAAATGGTTTCTCCCCTGTGTGAGTTCGCTGATGTCTTCTAAGTCAGTGTTTCCCAACCTTGTGCCTCCAGATGTTTTTGGCCTACAACTCCCATCATCCCTGACTAGCAAGACCAGTGGCAAGGGATGATGGGAATTGTAGGCCAAAAACAGCTGGAGGCACAAGGTTGGGAAACACTGTTCTAAGTGTCCCACTTCGACTGAAGCTCTTTCCACAATCCACACATTCAAATGGTTTCTCCCCCGTGTGAGTTCGTTGGTGTCTTCTAAGTGCTCCATTTTGACTGTAGCTCTTTCCACAATCCATACATTGAAATGGTTTCTCCCCTGTGTGAGTTCGTTGGTGTATTCTAAGTGATCCACTTTCACTGAAACTCTTTCCACATTCAATACATTTAAATGGTCTCTCCCCTGTATGAATCCGTTGGTGTGTTCTAAGGTGTCCACTTTTGCTGAAACTCTTTCCACATTCAATACATTTAAATGGTTTCTCCCCGGTGTGAGTTCGTTGATGTATTCTAAGGTATCCATTTTCACTGTAGCTCTTTCCACATTCAATACATTTATATGGTTTCTCCCCTGTGTGAGTTTGTTGGTGTACTCTAAGTACTCCACTTTTGCTGAAACTCTTTCCACATTCAATACATTTAAATGGTTTCTCCCCCGTGTGAATTCGTTGATGTATTCTAAGGTATCCATTTTGACTGTAGCTCTTTCCACATTCAATACATTTATATGGTTTTTCCCCTGTGTGAGTTCGTTGGTGTATTCTAAGTGATCCACTATCACTGAAGCTCTTTCCACATACAGTACATTTAAATGGTTTCTCCCCCGTGTGAGTTCGTTGGTGTCTTCTAAGTTTTCCACTTTCACTGAAGCTCTTTCCACATTCAAAACATTCAAATAGTTTCTCTCCTTTGTGAGTTTGTTGTTGTATCCTCAGTTTCTTTGTTCTTCCCAATGAATTGACAGGTGGCTCCATAGAATTCTGACCTTCATCTTCCTCACCTGTTTGGGAGTCTGGGAGGAAAGAGAATCCTGTTAGACTTTCAAGAAAGACAAAAAGGGAACTGCACACATGTCAATCCCAGTCTGCACCTTCTCTCATTTTAACACTGTCTCCATTCTCCACTATCCTCTCTAGGTTCCAAATTTTACGAAAGCTGATGAGATAGTGGCAAGAGCAACACATGATCACTCCATTCAAACTTAATAAAGCACCATCATTTTATAATACAGATCTATGGTGGAATTGGCTTATTAAACACATCTCTGTATTTTTCTTTTTCAAGTGAGGAAATGATCTCAGGCTCAAGTAACAGTATTTCCCTTGTGAAATAAATAAAACTTAAGTGCTACATGTAACTGTAGAAATATTGCAATATATTGGAACCTAAGAAGAGCCTGCTGGATCAGGCAAAGGCCCACCTAGTCCAGCATCCTCTTCTCACAGAGGCCAACCAGATGCCTGTGGGAAACCGGCAAGCAGGATTGGAGCACAAGAGTCTTCTCTGCCTTCCTGTGCTTTCCAGACACTAGTATCAAGAAGGATTATTGCCTAGGACCGAGAGGGCAGAGCAGAGACGTCAGTCTTATCCTTTTTTTCAAGCTATCCAAGTTGCTGGCTGTCACTGTGCCCTGTAGGATGGATTCCATAGATGAACTATGCTTCTGTTGATTCATCTTTGCAGCCCTTAAAAGCTGATAAATGTATTATGGCCTAAGCTTTTGTGGGCTGCAGTCTGACAAAGTGGACTCTTGACCAGGAAAGCTGGTGCCACTATAAACTTCTGAGTCTCTTTGTTGGTTTTGTGTACTTATTTTCAAATTTGCACCAAGGTTGTACCACAGTGTCTCCATGGAGGCTTAGGCACGGACAAAATTACAGGGTGTCAGCTCCGTGAATCTGAAGCCTCTTGTGCCTCCGCTGACAGAGCCTGAGAACGCAATAGATGTGATTCAGTTGGAATGTGAAGCAGGGGAGGAGCAGCCAAGCTGCAGCAGGAGCAAAGAACAAAGAAGAGGAAGGGGGGGTGCCGGGGCGGGGCACAGACTGTTATCTCCAGTTTGAGCTCTGACACAGGGACCCCAGAAATAGCCTGTCCAAAAACTCTTAGGCTCGAGAGAATCTGCGAGAAGAGGGGAAAAGAGAGCGAAAGTGGGGGCTTCTTTGCTGGAGGACTCGGCAACTGCAAGCTGGGTTGAACAGGCCGAAGACTGAGCTCCACAGTGATTTATGAGTTTGAGATAATTACTACTGGAGTTGTCTCACGTGTGTGCAGGAGAACCAAGCTATTACACAGTGGCGCTATAAATTATTATCCCACTCACTGACTCTCAACAACCCCAGTCTGTAAGATTTACAGAATTTGCTTATAATACCAGACACTCTTGGACTTAATATACCCAATCCTAAGTATAGAGCCTCCAGCCACAGGAATTGTGTATCATGATAACTGGTCCTTTGTCCCTTAAGCCCACCAAACTGGGGAGCTGCATGCATTTGTTGTGTTTTGATGCTGGTGGAATGTATCATTCTGACCCTGTCTATAAACAATAAGAGTAATAGAAACAATTTATGTACATTAATTATAAATAATTATGGGAAACATTTCCATTCCCCTTCACCCATTGTTCAGGATTGGTGTGCAACATCATTATCATCAATTATTCCTGCCGTGGAAATAACACCTAAGATTTCAAAGCCTGGAGGAAGAAAATCTGCCCCCACTACTTTAGGAAAAGGATTCAAGAAACAAAGAGCTGCTTTGCAGAAGGCCTCATCCCTTCCTTCATCCTGTCAGAAACTTCCTTCCATTTGTCTCCTCTCCATCTTTTCCTCTTTCTCCCGCCACCTTCCATCTATCCCTGTCCCCATCTCCTCTTCCCTGGAACTCACCAGATTTCTCCAAGTGTCTTGGGAGGGAATGCTCAGAGGTTGTGGGGAGGGATGCGGGAGACAGCCTGACGAGGTCAACCGTCCATCTTCCTCCTTCCATCCTGGCCAGGGTTGCAGGTTCAGTCTCAGCTAGGTTTGCAGGTTCAGCTTCCTGAGGAGTGCAGAATCCAAAGCAAGTTGCAGCTTCCTGGGAGGGAGGGAAGAAGAAGCCAAGGGAGTCTGAGAGCCCCTGCAGGGATTCTCCTGCCCAAGGCATTCTGCTGCCCCTGGAGAAGCCCCAATTGGGCATCCCCTTCCCAAGGGACCCCACGCATTTTCAAACACCTTTGGCAATTCCTTTCAGCTGCCTGTCCCACCTCCCTTCCTGTGAGTAGATCTCAAGAGTTGTTTACACCACGTGATCCCTTAAAGAGGGCAATTCTTTAAAACTGAAGGCCATTTCTACAAAATGGAAGACTTCCAAAAACAGCCTTTTACAAGGAAAGTTTTGATGGTTTTTATTTTGTTGGAAGCTACCCAGATGGGCAGAGGCAACCCAGTCAGATAGGCAGGATGCAAGTAATAATAATAATAATAATAATAATAATAATAATAATTGCTTCCTGTCCTGGGACGCCGGTGGCGCTGTGGGTTAAAACCATAGAGCCTAGGACTTGCCGATAAGAAGGTACATGACCCCAGTCAAGCTTGCAAAAATATATCATTTGCCCGATAACAAATGTTGGAAATGCAAAGAGATTGAAGGTACATTCTTTCACCTTTGGTGGACGTGCCCAAGGATCAAGGCCTTCTGGGAAATGATATATAATGAACTGAAAAAGGTATTTAAATATACTTTCCCGAAGAAACCAGAGGCCTTCCTCCTGGGCATAGTGGACCAATCGGTGCTAAAGAAGGATAGAATTTTTTTTATGTATGCTACAGCAGCAGCAAGAATTCTCATCGCAAAGCATTGGAAGACACAAGATCTACCCACATTGGAAGATTGGCAGATGCAACTAATGGACTACATGGAGATGGCGGAAATGACTGGCAGAATCCGAGACCAGGGAGAGGAGACGGTGGAGGAAGATTGGAAGAAATTCAAAATTTATTTGCAGAAATACTGTAAAATTTATGAATGTTAAGGACAGTGAAATGAATCGCAGGGACTTTAGCAACAAAGTAAAATGTAAGATTGGATTAACAACAGATAAATTAATAGGATATGAATTTGCTGAATTAATTTTTTAAAAAGGGATACAAGAACGGGAGATGTGAGGAAGTCCGGAAAATAAGCTAATTGAAGATGAGAAATTAAGAAAGAGGGAATTTTTGTTTTTTGTTATTATATGTGTTTTTATCTTTTTTCCCCCTCTTTTGATGTGTTTAATGTTTGTGTTTCCGTATTGTATTTTTTTTGGTGATTTTGTACTTTCTTTGTCTTTTATTGTGGAAGCTTAACAAAATATTTATATAAAAAAAAGGTTGGCGGTTCGATTCCCCACGACGGGGTCAGTTCCCATTGCTCGGTCCCTGCTCCTGCCAACCTAGCAGTTCGAAAGCACGTCAAAGTGCAAGTAGATAAATAGGTACCACTCCGGCAGGAAGGTAAACGGCGTTTCCGTGCGCTGCTCTCCTTTGCAAGAAGTGGCTTAGTCATGCTGACCACATGACCTGGAAGCTGTACGCCTGCTCCCTCAGCCAATAAAGCGAGATGAGCGCCACAACCCCAGAGTCGGTCACGATTGGACCTAATGGTCAGGGGTCCCTTTACCTTTTTAAGCCTGTCCTGCTAGGCATGCTGATCAGAGACTCTGTCCAAACAACCCCTTCGAACGCAACAGGGCTTCCTATTTTTACTGCTATCAGGGGAACAGTCAAACCACGAAGCCACTGATCAACCAGAGTTTCCTGTTTTCACCAAGCACAGTTTGAAGTTAGCTTAATATCCCAGCTTGTTCCAAAGCTGGCAGCTGTAGTTTCCTGGTTTGGGCAAAATGGAAAGTTTGTTCGTTATGGCTCATAAGAGACTGTCTGGTTTCATCACGGTTCACCCTCAGGGCCGGCCAAATCATGAGGTAAGCTGGGACCATTAGGTCAGGAGGCAGATGCAGGGAGATATGGGACCAGCACGTTCCCAGCTCCCCTGTTTGTTAGCCTTGCTGCCAGTGCAGGACCACAGCTGGTAGATTTGTGCAACTACCCATGCAGAGTCCTTTTCTTTTGCCCTCTCTCACTAAAGGTTGGGTGGGAGTCCTTCCTGGAGTGATGCATTCTGGTTGTGGGGGCCAGGAGACTGTGGTGGTGGTGGCTAGAGTTTTTTGTTTTGAACTTGGGTCAACTTAGGTTTTATCGTAATGTACCAAATGTACATTAGTACAGCAATGTACTAAAAACTGTTCCTATTTGTAACCCAGCTTTTCAGGCTGTGATTCAGTCATCTGAACATGGACATTATCTTAATAAATCTTGGAACAATCTTGCAAGGTAGGCCAGTGTTATTCTATTTGCACTGCACATGGCAGTGGTGAGGCTGCAAGACGTGCCAAGATTTTTATCTCAGTGGGGAGAAAAGAGCATTTTGGAAATGCAGGCAATTTAGAGGAGGAAAAAGGGGGTTGGTGGAAGGACATCTCTTCTGACGTAGCTTCTGCTCTGATGAAATTCCGAGTCCCCTGCAGCTGTTTAGGTAAAGTAAGAAAAGAAGGAGATATGATCACAAAACTCCCATGTATAAGAAAGTTTGGTCTAGCAAGCCTGGTGGAATAAGTCCCACGATTGGATGTTGTTGTCTCCAACTGTACTGTTGGGAAAAGGGGAAGTCTATTCTCTGTACTGAGCACCGGATGTTAGCTCAGAGTGTCATCTGACCTGTACTGGAAGTACAGGGGTAGAGTTGTGACTCTTCTGATGGAGTCTGAAGGGTGCAGTCACGTTTCTATGTACTGCTGAATGACAGGAATAAAAGACATGTAAATAGGACTCCTGTCTGTCTCATTTCCCCTCCCTGGGGGGGAAAGCTGGGAGAGTGAAGCAGAGGGTGTGTTCTTCTCACATCTGAGGAGAATCGCCGAGTTACGACCTTGTCTGCCGGGAAGACGCAGACGGAAGGTAAACAAGTATCTCACTCAGTTTGCCCCGGGGGAGGCCAGTTACCTCTGACTGTGAGCTGAGATACTGACATCCCCAAGCCAAACGGAGGACATAGATGATGCCTTCCTGGAACAGATGGCCAAGCATGCAAAAGGAAGGGAGATAGTAGTAATGGGGGACTTCAATTACCAGGATATTTGTTGGATGTCAAACTCAGCCAAGAGGATAAGGTCAAACAGATTCCTCACTGGCCTTGCAGACAACTTCATTGTCCAGAAAGTGGGAGAAGCAACAAGAGGAACAGCCATTTTAGATCTGGTCCTAACCAATGTTGATGACCTGGTTAGTGGGGTAGAAGTGGAAGGATCATTAGGCGCGAGTGATCATGCTCTTCTGAAGTTTACTATATACAGCGGAAAGGAGCAGCCAAGTATACTAGGACTCAATTTCTTGACTTTAAGAAAGCCGACTCCATAAAACTTAGGGAAGTGCTGGGTGAGATCCCATGGACAGTAATACTAAAAGGAAAGGGAGTTCATGATGGCTGGGAGTTTGTTAAGAGGGAGATAGTAAAAGCACAACTTCAGGCAATACCAATGAGACGGAAACATGGAAGGTGCCTAAGGAAGCCATGGTGGCTATCTAAAGAACTTTTACAACTGAATTAAGATTAAAAAAGGATGTGTACAAAAAATGGAAAAGGGGGGAAACCACCAAAGAGGAATTCAAACAAATAGCCAGCACATGTAGACACAAAGTCAGAAAAGCTAAAGCACAGAATGAACTCAGGCTTGCTAGAGAGGTTAAAAGCAACAAAAAAGGCTGTTATGGGTATGTCCGTAGCAAAAGGAAGAACAAAGAAACAGTGGGGTCACTCAGAGGAGAAGATGGTGAAATGCAAACAGGGGACACAGAAAGGGCTGAACTCCTCAATGCCTTCTTTGCCTCAGTCTTCTCCGATAAAGAAAACAATGCCCGACCTGAAGAATTTGGAGCAAATGATTCAGCAGAGGAAACACAGCCCAGAATAACTAAGGAGATAGTACAAGAATACTTGGCTAGTTTAGATGTATTCAAGTCTCCAGGGCCAGATGAACTGCATCCAAGAGTATTAAAAGAACTGGCAGATGTGATCTCAGAACCATTGGCAGTCATCTTTGAGAATTCCTGGAGAACAGGCGAAGTCCCAGCAGACTGGAGGAGGGCAAATGTTGTCCCTATTTTCAAAAAGGGGAAAAGAGAGGACCCAAATAATTACTGCCCAGTCAGTCTGACATCAATACCAGGGAAGATTCTGGAGCAGATCATTAAGCAAACAGTCTGTGAGCACCTAGAAAGGAATGCTGTGATCACCAATAGTCAGCATGGATTTCTGAAAAATAAGTAATGTCAGACTAACCTGATCTCGTTTTTTGACAGAATTACAAGCCTGGTAGATGAAGGGAACGCAGTGGATGTAGCCTACCTTGATTTCAGCAAGGCATTCAACAAGGTGCCCCATGATATTCTTGTAAAGAAGCTGGTAAAATGCGGTCTTGACTATGCTACCACTCAGTGGATTTGTAACTGGCTGACTGACCGAACCCAAAGGCTGCTCATCAATGGTTCCTCTTCATCCTGGAGAAGAGTGACTAGTGGGGTGCCACAGGGTTCTGTCTTGGGCCCGGTCTTATTCAACATCTTTATCAACGACTTGGATGATGGACTCAAGGGCATCCTGATCAAATTTGCAGATGACACCAAACTGGGAGGGGTGACTAACACCCCAGAGGACAGGATCACACTTCAAAACGACTTTGACAGATTAGAGAACTGGGCCAAAACAAACAAGATGAATTTTAACAGGGAGAAATGTAAAGTATTGCACTTGGGCAAAAAAAAATGAGAGGCACAAATACAAGATGGGTGACACCCGGCTTGAGAGCAGTACATGTGAAAAGGATCTAGGAGTCTTGGTTGACCACAAACTTGACATGAGCCAACAGTGTGACGCGGCAGCTAAAAAAGCCAATGCAATTCTGGGCTGCATCAATAGGAGTATAGCATCTAGACCAAGGGAAGTAATAGAGCCACTGTATTCTGCTCTGGTCAGACCTCACCTGGAGTACTGTGTCCAGTTCTGGGCACCACAGTTCAAGGAGGACACTGACAAAGTGGAACGTGTCCAGAGGAGGGCAACCAAAATGGTCAAACGCCTGGAAACGATGCCTTATGAGGAATGGCTAAGGGAGCTGGGCATGTTTAGCCTGGAGAAGAGGAGGTTAAGGGGTGATATGATAGCCATGTTCAAATATATAAAAGGATGTCACATAGAGGAGGGAGAAAGGTTGTTTTCTGCTGCTCCAGAGAAGCGGACACAGAGCAATGGATCCATACTACAAGAAAGAAGATTCCACCTAGGATGAAGATCTCTGTCTGTCCTGGAGAGAAAGATGCCTAAGGGCCCTTAGAGAGATCTTTTAAACTCCAATTTCACCACAAACCAGCACAGTGCTGAAATGGGGTAAAGGCCCTGCTCCAGAAATGATCCCTCTGGCTGCTCTTTAAAGAGGATTTCTAAAGAACGATCAGAAGGGTCTTTTTTCCACAGATCTCCTTGCTAATTCAGCAGGGTCTTCTTGTGCTCTTATTTCTCCTCCAGCCCAGCACTGGGGTTGGAAGGTCTAAACATGCTGATTGTGTTTGCAAGACTTGTATGTATGCTAGATGGCATGTCTGGTGAGTGTGTGCAGCACCTCTGGCGTGTGTGCATGTGACTTTATGGTCTGCATCTCTTTTCTGTATGCGCATGCATGCGCATACATTGGCCACAAAGCTCACTGGAATGTGGCCTCCAGAATCAATGCAGCTTTAAGCCCATAAATGTTTCGCTCCTCCTGCTCTATCAGAAAGAACAATCAAATCTGAGACTATCAGGAGGAGAGAACTCCTGGATCTACAGAGTTAATGTTCTCAACAACCTATGGACACAAATTGCAATGAGATTTCCCTTTAATTACTTTGAGATTTTTTTCCTTAAAAATATGAAGCAGTATAGAAATGAAAGGAGTAATAATCTGAACATGAATAGCTAATTTCAATTTCGCCTTCCTCGGTCTTTAACAATACTGTCTTCAATGTTTTTATTATCATTAATTCATTTCCATATGCCACACTTCATAAGAATCGTCCTTTCCTCTGCATTCTCAAAACTGTCACCCACTTCAACCCTCAGCCTTCATCTGTAAACTGTGCAGCCTTACTGAGGAAGGTGGAAATAAAACAATTAATGAGACAGGTTTAAGCCTGTCACACTGATTTACACGCAGACACAAGAGGTCACTAGCTTTGATAGTTTGGGGAAAGATCAGATGCATTCTCCGGGGAAAAGATCTATTAGCCGTTTTATTAGCTGTGACAGATCAACAGAGCCTCCATGTGTAGGCACAGTGTACCTTGATTTGGGGAAGACAAAAGAAGCCATTTCCTTGCTAAATGAATTGGATGGACATCATTGCCACAAGATGCAGTGATGGTGGTGGCGGCTAAGAGTGCTTTAGAAGGCGACCAATTCATGAAGGAGGGCGATAGGTTCATCAATGGCACTGGCAGAGGAAGGAGGGCAGGAGTAGTGGCCTGCAAAGGGTGTCAGGGGCTGCACAGTAAGAGACCCCCCCCCGTGCTGCACTGCTCTTCCTCCCCCCCCCTGCCTCCCCTTCCCTCTCCCCCGTGGGGAGGACCGTGGAAGAGGACGGGGCTCCCTGCTGAGGGACAGGGAGAGGGGCGGCAAAAGCCCCAGGTACGCCGCTGATCCGTGAGCGACTATATGCATCGTCCATCGGGAAGCAGCAGCTGCCTTGGACCCCTCATTCTGCCCCTTGAGCTCAGGACTGAAGGGAGCAGCTCCCCAGGGTCTCCGGCAGGGTCCGTGCCAGCCTGAGCCAGAGATGTTTGCCCCTGTGCCCTCCTGCAGATGCCCTGCCCCTCAGCTGCGCCCCTTCCCCTTCCTGCCCGGGTGGGGGGGGCGCCCTGCAGCCTCTGACTCCACTCGGGGCCCGATCCTGCCAGGCGCACGTGCTCTCCCCCCCCCCCCGCCTCCTGCACCTCGGACTCCTCGCTCCGTCCCCGCAGCGGAATCCGGCTCCTCTCCGGGGAAACTCGCCAGGCCACGGGCCGCTGCTCCTCCGCTCTCCTCGGCGGGGGACAGGAAAGTGCAGCCGCTCTCGAGTCCCCCTGACTGGCCCCGTTTCCTGCCTCTCTGGGCATCGGAGCTCGCTGGCTGTGGGTTGGGCCCTGGGAGGCTGCGAGGCTGGATGCGCCCCCTTGCGCTGTCCCTCAAAATTTATTGTATCGTTGGAATCTACCTGGCATCTTCTCGGATATCCAGAATGTTGCACAAATAAGTCTCCTTGTGATCCGATGTGCAGTCACTGGTTTCCTCATCAGTAAATCTTTTCAGAAAGCTGGGACGATGCCACCCTGCAGCCATAGCTGTCAATTTTCAGATTTGAAAATAAGGGATCAGCAGCCTCACCTCTCCTGGGGACAGTCTACAGGATATCTAACAATCCGGGATACCAGCGGGAAATGGCACTGGAATAAGGGAAATTCCGGCAAAAAAAGGGAAGGTTGACAGCTATGCCTGCAGCCCGAATGGGTAGCTGGAGGAAGCAGTCCAGTTCCCAGCTCTGCTGGTTGGGATCATGCAATCACTTAGCTCCAGCAACCGACCTTTCCAAACCCTCTAACATTTCTCTGATGAAAATAGGGACATCCCTTTCCATAAATATAATTTTCCTATTTATACACCGCACATCTTATTACGCTGTCCAAGCCACTCTGGGAAGTTTCCAACATATATAAAAAACATAATAAAACATTAAACATTTTGAAACGTCCCTATACAGGATTGCCTTGTCAGAGGGCCCGGGGGTCGGATAACTCCATTCCCTCCAGCATTTCTTCAATGAAAATAGGGAGACCCTAAGGAGAAGCGGGACATTCTGGGATCAAATCAGAAACCAGGACAGCTTCTCTAAATCAGGGACATCCCTGGAAAATAGTGGAATTTGGAGGGTTTCTATTTCCCTGCTTTTTCTTTCGCTGCCTCTGGTCTCCTGCATCCATTTAGCAGAGGAGGAGAGCGTTTTTGGCTTTCATACTTCTCCACCCCCCACCCCACCCCCAATATAACCCAAAACACACACACCATTTGGGAGTGAGGACCAAAAAAATATAAAAATCGTTTTATTATTTTATTACTTATTTTTGCAGTTCAATCGACTGTATCTATAAATTTTATTGTTTATAGCCAATGGCCACCACAATACAATATGAGCACAAATCACACAGCTGCAAAACAAAAGACATTGCATGCACCAGACCAGGATAAATCTATAGCGTACAAAATTAATTTTCACATTTCTTTCAATGGGAAGGATATAGGGCAGCAGAGCCAAGGTGCTGGGGTCCAGATTAGAGTTTCTATCATCCTTGACTGTCTGCCCTGCTGGCTGAAGCATATGGGAACTGGACAACAACATCTGGGGACACCTCAATGACTATTCTGTGATATACAAAATCTTCAAAGGATTAAGGCACTGATCCAGAAGAGAATGAACTGAGAAGAGGCCACGCTGAATTATCTGAAGTGAAACAGAGGAAGATCATTATATAATAATAATAATTTATTATTTATACCCCGCCCATCTGGCTGAGTTTCCACAGCCACTCTGGGCAGCTTCCAATCAAGTGTTAAAAACAGTACAGCATTAAATATTAAAAACTTCTCTAAAAACTTCCGTGCTTTCACGCACACAGCAACCCTGCGAGGGAGGTTTCACATAAAGATGGTGACCAGCTTTAAGTTGCCCAATCGGCTTCACGACTGAGGAGGGATTTGAATTGTCCCCGGCATTTGTGGACCTAGATCCTTGAACTCCAGCTCCCATGAGCCCCAGCCAGCGTGGCCAGCGGCTAAAGAAGACGTGAGTTGCAATTTCACATCATCTGGAGGGGCCACAGGTACCCAACAGGTCCGTTTTCAGCGCCTTGACCTTCTCCTGGCGCAGCTGCCCTTGGAACTCCTCGTACTGAATGTGCTTCGTCCTGCAGTGTGTCTACAGGTGGGCCTTCTTCAGGACGGAGAGGGCCTCACCACAAATGAGGCTCAGCTCCACAAAGAAATAGTCATGGGTCCATTTCTTATTATTTCTTATTAAAAATGCTGCACTCCAAATCTATCTTCCTCTTCTTGTGGAAACATTGATTGTTCAGAAACAGACAATTAGGCAGACGAAGCTGTTCGAATATGGGAGTCCTATACTGCTCTTTGAGCCATTGAAGCTTCTGAACTCTTTTCAAAGGCAGCCCCAGGTAGAGTTTGTTAAAGTAACTGCTACGAAATGTGGCACAGGACTGCTTTCTTTTGACACCAAGGGGAGCTCCTCTACTGGGGCTGAAAGCATTGGCATGGTTTGATTTTGTCAGTATTGCAAGGAAGCATAGAAGGAAAGGTAAAAAACACCTATGCAGTTTATTAAAGTATCTGTGGTTTTTGCCCTGTATGAGTTCGTTGATGTCTTCTAAGTGCTCCATATTGGCTGTAGCTCTTTCCATATTCAATACATTTAATTGATTTCTCCCCCGTGTGAGTTCGTTGATGTCTTCTAAGTGTCCCACTTCGACTGAAGCTCTGTCCACACTGCATACATTTAAATGGTTTCTCCCCTGTGTGAGTTCGTTGGTGTATTCTAAGTGATCCACTATCCCTGTAGCTCTTTCCACATTCCATACACTTAAATGGTTTTTCCCCTGTGTGAGTTTGTTGGTGTATTCTAAGTTCTCCACTTCGACTGTAGCTCTTTCCACATTCAATACATTTAAATGGTTTCTCCCCTGTGTGAGTTCGTTGATGTCTTCTAAGTGTCCCACTTCGACTGAAGCTCTTTCCACAATCCACACATTCAAATGGTTTCTCCCCTGTGTGAGTTCGCTGATGTATTCTAAGTGCTCCACTTTCATGGAAGCTCTTTCCACACTGCATACATTTAAATGGTTTCTCCCCTGTGTGAGTTCGTTGGTGTATTCTAAGTGATCCACTATCCCTGTAGCTCTTTCCACATTCCATACATTTAAATGGTTTTTCCCCTGTGTGAGTTCGTTGGTGTATTCTAAGTTCTCCGCTTCGACTGTAGCTTTTTCCACATTCAATACATTCAAATGGTTTCTCCCCTGTGTGAGTTTGTTGATGTCTTCTAAGTGCTCCACTTTCATGGAAGCTCTTTCCACACTGCATACATTTAAATGGTTTCTCCCCTGTGTGAGTTCGTTGGTGTATTCTAAGTGATCCACTATCACTGTAGCTCTTTCCACATTCCATACATTTAAATGGTTTTTCCCCTGTGTGAATTCGTTGGTGTATTCTAAGTTCTCCGCTTCGACTGTAGCTTTTTCCACATTCAATACATTCAAATGGTTTCTCCCCTGTGTGAGTTTGTTGATGTCTTCTAAGTGTTCCACTTTCATGGAAGCTCTTTCCACACTGCATACATTTAAATGGTTTGTCCCCTGTGTGAGTTCGTTGGTGTATTCTAAGGCCTCCACTTTGACTGTAGCTCTTTCCACATTCAATACATTTAAATGGTTTCTCCCCTGTGTGAGTTCGTTGGTGTCTTCTAAGATGTCCACTTTCACTGAAGCTCTTTCCACATTCAATACATTTAAATGGTTTCTCTCCCGTGTGAGTACGTTGGTGTATTCTAAGTGATCCACTATCATTGAAGCTCTTACCGCACTCCATACATTTAAATGGTTTCTCACCTGTGTGAATTCGTTGGTGTATTCTAAGTGATCCACTTTCACTGAAGCTCTTTCCACATTCAATACATTTCAATGGTTTATCCTCCGTGTGTATTCGTAGATGACTTCTAAGGGTTCCACTTCGACTGAAGCCCTTACCGCACTCCATACATTTAAATGGTTTCTCCCCTGTGTGAGTTCGTTGGTGTATTCTAAGTGATCCACTATCCCTGTAGCTCTTTCCACATTCCATACATTTAAATGGTTTTTCCCCTGTGTGAGTTCGTTGGTGTATTCTTAGTGCATCATTTCGACTGAAGCTCTTTCCACATTCAATACATTCAAATGGTTTCTCCCCTGTGTGAGTTCGCTGATGTATTCGAAGTTTCCCAGTGGTACTGAAGCTCTTTTCACATTCAATACATTCAAATAGTTTCTCTCCTTTGTGAGTTTCTTGTTGTATCCTCAGTTTCTTTGTTCTTCCCAATGAATTCACCTGTGGCTCCATAGAATTCTGACTTTCATTTTCCTCACCTGTTTGGGAGTCTGGGAGGAAAGAGAATCCTGTTAGACTTTCAAGAAAGACAAAAAAGGAACTGAACACATGTCAATCCCAATCTGTACCTTCTCTCATTTTAACACTGTCTCCATTCTCCACTGTCCTCTCTAGGTTCCAATTTTTTTGCAAAGCAGATGAGATAATGGCAAGAGCAACACATGATCACTCCATTCACACTTAATAAAGCAGCATCATTTTATAATACAGATCTATGGGGGAATTGGCTTATTAAACACATCTCTGTATTTTTCTTTTTCAAGTGAGGAAATGATCTCAGGCTCAAGTAACAGTATTTCCCTTGTGAAATAAGTAAAACTTAAGTGCTACATGTAACTGAAAAAATATTGCAATATATTGGAACCTAAGAAGAGCCTGCTGGATCAGGCAAAGGCCCACCTAGTCCAGCATCCTCTTCTCACAGAGGCTAACCAGATGCCTGTGGGAAACCGGCAAGCAGGACTGGAGCACAAGAGTCTTCTCTGCCTTCCTGTGCTTTCCAGAAACTAGTATTAAAAAGCATTATTGCCTAGGACCGCGAGGGCAGAGCAGAGACGTCAGTCTTATCTTTTCTTTCAAGCTATCCAAGTTGCTGGCTCTCACGGTCTCCTGTAGGATGGATTCCATAGATGAACTACGCTTCTGTTTATTCATCTTTTGGAGCCCTTAAAAGCTGATAAAGGTATTATGGCCTAAGCTTTTGTGGGCTGCAGTCTGACAAAGTGGAATTTTGAGCAGGATACGTGATGCCACAGGGACGTGGGGACAGGTGAGGCTGCTGATCCCTTATTTTCAAATCTGAAAGTTGACATCTATGAACCAGCATGTTTAGACCTTCCAACCCCAGTGCTGGGGTGGGGGAAAATAAGAGCACAAGAAGACCCTGCTGAATTAGCAATGAGATCCATGAAAAAAGACCCTTCTGATTGTTCTTTAGAAACCCTCTTTAAAGAGCAGCCAGAGGGATCATTTATCTCTAGATCAGGACTCCTATCCCATCTCAGCACTGTGCTGATTCCTGCTGAGATTGGAGTTAAAGGATCTCTCTAAGGGAACTTTAAGGGACGCGGGTAGCGCTGTGGTCTAAACCACAGAGCCACGGCTTGCCGATCAGAAGGTCGGCGGTTCGAAACCCCATGACAGGGTGAGCTCCCGTTGCTCGGTCCCTGCTGCTGCCAACCTAGCAGCTTGAAAGCATGTCAAAGTGCAAGTAGATAAATAGGTACCGCTCCGGCGGGAAGGTAAACGGCGTTTCTGTGCGCTGCTCTGGTTCACCAGAAGTGGCTTAGTCATGCTGGCCACATGACCCGGAAGCTGTACGCCGGCCCCCTCGGCCAGTAAAGCGAGATGAGCGCCACAACCCCAGAGTCAGTCACGACTGGACCTAATGGTCAGGGGTCCCTTTACCTTTACCTGGTGCCACTATAAACCTCTGAGTCTCTTTGTTGGCTTGGTGTACTTATTTTGAAATTTGTACCAAGGTTGTACCACAGTATCCCCATAGAAGCTTAAAGGTAAAGGTAAAGGTAACTCTGCCCGTACGGGCCAGTCGTGTCCGACTCTAGGGTTGTGCACCCATCTCACTTAAGAGGCCGGGGGCCAGCGCTGTCCGGAGACACTTCCGGGTCAGGTGGCCAGCGTGACAAAGCTGCCGTGGCGAGCCGGCACCAGCGCAGCACACGGAAACACCATTTCCCTTCCTGCTATAAAGCGGTACCTATTTATCTACTGGCACTTAGGGCTGCTTTCGAACTGCTAGGTGGGCAGGAGCTGGGACCGAAAGATGGGAGCTCACCCTGCCGCGGGGATTCGAACCGCCGACCATGCGATCGGCAAGCCCTAATCGCTGAGGTTTTACCAACAGCGCCACCCGCGTCCCACCGCCACCCGCGTCCCACCCATAGAAGCTTAGGAACGGAGAAAATTACAGGGGTGCTAGAAATTATTATCCCACTCACTCACTCTCACAAACAACCCCAGTCTGTAAGATTGGCAAGTTAACACAATTTGCTTCTAATACCAGACGCTCTTGGACTTTATATGTCCAATCCTAAGTGTAGAGCCTCCAGCCACAGGAATTATGTATCATGATAACGGGTCCTTTGTCCCTTAAGTCCACCAAACTGGGGAGCTGCATGCATTTATTTTGATGCTGGTGGAATGTATCTGACCCTGTCTATAAAAAATAAGGGTAATAGATTAATTATAAATAATTATGGGAAGCATTTCCATTCCCCTTCACCCTTTTTTCAGGATTGGTGTGCCACATCATTATCATCAATATTCCTGCTGGGGAAATAACATCTAAGATTTAAAAGCCTGGAGGAAGAAAAGCTGCTTTGGAGAAGGCCTCACCCCTTCCTTCTTACGTTCAGGAACCTCCTTCCATTTGTCTCCACTCCATCTTTTCCCCTTTCTCCCTCCACCATCCATTCATCCATCCATCCATCCATCCATCCATCCATCCATCCCTGTCCCCATCTCCTCTCCCCTGGAACTCACCAGATTTCTCCAAGGGTCCTGGGAGGGAATGCTCAGAGGTTGTGGGGAGGGATGCGGGAGACAGCCTGACCAGGTCACCCGTCCATCTTCCTCCTTCCATCCTGGCCAGGGTTGCAGGTTCAGTCTCAGCTAGGTTTGCAGGTTCAGCTTCCTGAGGAGCGCAGAATCCAGAGCCAGTTGCAGCTTCCTGGGAGGGAGGGAAGAAGAAGCCAAGGGAGTCTGAGAGCCCCTGCAGGGATTCTCCTGCCCAAGACATTCTGCTGCCCCTGGAGAAGCCCCAATTGGGCGCCCCTTCCCCAAGATCCCCCACCCATTTTGAAACACCTTTGGCAATTCCTTTCACCTCCCTGTCCCACCTCCCTTCCTAAGGCTGGCATGGTATGTACATTAGCGGCCTAAGAGTAGGTCCCTTGGAATTTAAGAGTTCATCTGCAAAGGACTGCTCTGAATACATGGCTGGCCCTTGCATGGAGAAGAAGGAAGCCCCTTGCTTGCATCAGGACCCCCTGGGAGAGGCGGGCGATCCTCCCACTGCTCCCTCTGTCCTCCCTGACTCCTCTGTCCTCTTGCCCTGCAAACACCCTTTGCTCTTGTTTCTCAGGGGAGAGAGGCAGAAAGAGCCTTCAAACCCATCCATTTCCTCCTCTGCTCCCCCTCCTGTCCTTTTGGGAAACAGGAACTTTGGTCAGGAGTAAACAACCTAGATGGCAAGTTTGCAAGATAAGCACTTTAAAGCACTGCTTGCTCCTACTATGTGTGTGTCTCTGTGTGTTTGGACCTAGAGGACAACATACATGTTTACACCAAGTGATTCCTTAAAGACGGCAATTCTGTAAAACCGAAGGCCATTTCTACAAAATGGAAGACTTCCGAAGGCAGCCTTTTACAAGGAAATTTTTGATGGTTTCTATTTTGTTGGAAGCTACCCAGATGGGCAGAGGCAACCCAGTCAGATAGGCAGGATGCAAATAACAACAACAACAACAACAACAACAACAATAATAATAATAATAATTGCTTCCTAAGCCTGTCCTGGGACGCGGGTGGCACTGTGGGTTAACCACAGAGCCTAGGACTTGCCGATCAGAAGGTTGGCGGTTCGAATCCCCGCGACAGGGTGAGCTCCCGTTGCTCGGTCCCTGCTCCTGCCAACCTAGCAGTTCGAAAGCACATCAAAGTGCAAATAGATAAATAGGTACAGCTCCGGCAGGAAGATAAAGGGCGTTCCCATGCACTGCTCTGGTTCACAAGAAGTGGCTTAGACATGCTGGCCACATGAACAGGAAGCTGTACGCTGGCTCCCTCAGCCAATAAAGCGAGATGAGCGTCACAACCTCAGAGTCGGTCACGACTGGACCTAATGGTCAGGGGTCCCTTTACCTTTTTAAGCCTGTCCTGCTAGGCATGCTGATCAGAGACTCTGTCCAAACAACCCCTTCAAATGCAACAGGGCTTCCTATTTTTACTGCTATCAGTGGGATCAGTCAAACCACGAAGCCACTGATCAACCTGAGTTTCCTGTTTTGAGCAAGCACAATTTGAAGTTAGATTAATCTCTCAGCTTGTTCCAAAGCTGGCAGCTGTAGTTTCCTGGTTTGGGCAAAATGGAAAGTTTGTTAGTTATGGCTCATAAGAGAGTGCCTGGTTTCATCACAGTTCACCCTCAGGGCCGGCCCAATCATGAGGTAAGCTGGGACAATTAGGTCAGGAGGCAGATGCAGGGAGATATGGGACCAGCACGTTCCCAGCTCCCCTGTTTGTTAGCCTTGCTGCCAGTGCAGGACCACAGCTGGTAAATTTGTGCAACTACCAATGTAGAGTCCTTTTCTTTTGCCCTCTCTCACTAAAGGTTGGGTGGGGGTCCTTCCTGGAGTGATGCATTCTGGTTGTGGGGGCCAGGAGACTGCGGTGGCGGCTAGAGTTTTTGGTTTTCAACTTGGGTCAACTTAGGTTTTATCGTAACTTTGCTGCAGCAATGCATTAAAAACTGTTCCTATTTTTAACCCGGCTTTTCAGACTGTGATTCAGTCATCTGAATCTGGCCATTATCTTAATAAATCTTGCAACAACCTTGCAAGATGGGCCAGTCTTATTTAATGCGACTACACATGGGATTGCTGAGGCTACAAGACGTGCCAAGATTTCTACCTCAGTGGGGAGAAAAGAGCATTTTGGAAATGGAGGCAATTTAGAGGAGGAAAACGGGGGTTGGTGGAAGGACCCCTCTTCTGACACAGCTTCTGCTCTGATAAAATTCAGAGTCCCCTGCAGTTGTTTAAGTAAAGTAAGAATAGCAGGAGATATAATCGCAAACCTCCCATGTGTAAGAAAGTTTGGTCTAGCAAGGCTTTTTAAAGTGGATTAGAGTGGAAGTGCAGGGAGGAGGAATATTCACCACCAAAGCTAAACAGGACCTCCATGTCTAGAAGCAGTAGACCTGTGACCTCCAGGTGCTGGAAACCCAGGTGAGAGGAGGGCACTTA